AACGTTTCCTTGTCTTGTTTACACTAATCTATATATATAAATCTGACTGTCCTGACTGATACTGACTCATCAACGCCCAGACCAAACCCTTGACCCTAGAAAGCTGAAATTTTGCACAGGGGTTCCTTTTATGATGTTTACGTAAGATAAGAAAGGATTTTTAAAATTCATCCCCTAAGGGGTAAAAAGGGGGTGGAATATTACAATATTTTTATTTAAAAAACGGTCAAGTTTCCGGAAAAACGCTGAAACACGTATATTTTATTTTCTTTTTTTACATATTTTCAGATTTTTTAAAATGTATACAGGGTGTTTCGAAAAATCTGGTCATTGATTAATCACGATCCTGCTTAAAGCGCTTGACGTAAAAAGCTGATTTTGGAAAACGGATTGACTTTAGGGTGTAGAGGTTCGATAAGAAGGGATTTTTCGAAACTCGAATTCTAAGGTGAAACCGCCCCTCAAATATTAGAATATTTTTATTTAAAAACGGTCAAGTTTCCGAAAAACGCTTGAACACGTATATTTTATTTTATTTTTTACATATTTTAAGATTTTTTAAAAATGTATACAGGGTGTTTCGAAAAATTGATTAATTGGTCATTGATTAATCACGATCCTGCTTAAAGCGCTTGACGTAAAAAGCTGATTTTTGGAAAACGGATTGACTTTAGGGTGTAGAGGTTCGATAAGAAGGGATTTTCGAAACTCGAATTCTAAGGGGGTGAAACCGCCCCTCAAATATTAGAATATTTTTTTATTTAAAAACCGGTGAGTTTTCGGAAAAACTCTTAAACATGTATATTTTATTTTTGTTGTTTTACATATTTTAAGGTTTTTAAAAATTTATACAGGGTGTTTCATAAAATATAACCATTGAGTAATCACGATTCTACTTAAACTGCTTGACGTTTAAAGCTGATTTTTGGCAAACGGATTGACTGTGGGGTGTAGAGGTTCGATAAAGGGGGGTTTCGAATTTCAAATTCCAAGCGGGTGAAAACGACCCACAAATATTACAATATTTGTTTTTAAATACGGCGAGCCTTTCGGGAAAAACACTTGGACACATAATTGATTTTGTTTTTTTACATATTTTGAAATTTTTAAAAAATCATACAGGGTGTTCCAAAAGTTGGGTAATTGATTAATCACGATTCTGCTTAAACTGCTTGACGTAAAAGCTTATTTTTGGCAAACGGATTTTTCGAAAGTCAAATTCCAACGAGATGAAACTACCCCTCAAATATTATACCAAGTTATATAATAATATCGCCATATTGTTTTTTCTCATGCTGACATAAATGTAAGAAAATTTTATCTTAGTTTGTATGTTAATGGAAATTCTTGCTTTGCTTGATCATCACCATTACAAATGATTAATCCGACGCGAACGAAGTCGCGGGTACACACTAGTATTGAATAAAAGAAAGACTTTAGTACTACACTACGTTATACTTTGGTTATACTATAAATTTAAAACACACTTTCTGTAATCGTGCAAAGCAGACCTGTGCATTGTATCGAGCGCGGTCGCCAGTCGACCTGTGGTGCTATGACGTAGCAGCTGGCCACGCCCCTTTCTCGCACAATAGATGTTTGTACGTGTTTTTGAGGTACTAAACGTACGAATAAAATTCTAATTTTTGGTAGATCTGTAATTTTTTAGTTGTACTTTCGATTGGTAAAATAAAAAAAAATTGTGGAACAAGCCCATTGCTTTTTCTATTTCATAACTTGATGGCATTTAAAAGCCAGTTGACACGTCTTTCACTTATGGCGTTTAGTTCACCCATAATATAAACACGACGCGGACCACCCTACTAAACAATAGTCGTATTATTACCTTTCTAGACATATTCATATTTCGGTTCGACTCTTAATCCCGCACCAGTTCCTGTCCTACAAAAACATTCTGTTCATCGAACGAAACAGACCAGATTTTCCACGGTGGTCGGTTGAGCGTAGCCATCCACTTCAGCCGTCAGATCGAGTGTCGAGACTTGAGAAGGGATCACTCAATTTTTACTTTTAGTACGAGGCGTGTTTTATTTCACTCGTGAATAAAATTAATTAGAACGTTAGTGTTGTTGGAATAGTTTGAATAAGAAGGTTGAGGGGGGAGCATATTTAGAGCAACACACTCAGGTGAAGAGCGATGGGAGTTTAATATGGCTGAATTAAATTCCTGTTCATCAGTTTCGTTCTAATTTTGCTTAAAACGTGTAAAATGTTAATGTGGGGTAAACTAAATAATTTGTTTGTTTTGTTTTACGGTGTCAAAAATTTTTCCAATTATTATTTGATTGATGATATTAGAATTGTTAAAAATATTGTATTTCTAATAAAAATAGATTTACAAACAAGATTTATAATAATTGTATGTATTAGGATGTACTTCAGGAAAATAATTTAACCTCTTCAGGCTGGCACAAAAAACTGTGTGGATAGGGATAGTTTTTTTTAAATATGTATATTATTGCATTTTTGACTTCCTTTCTGATCACTTTATACCGGGTGTGTCTCAAAAGTGGCTCACCCCTATAACTTTTTATATTTTATCAGATAAAAAAACGAGATTTGGTATGTTAGTATATGACATAAATTAGGAGTGATTGACGTATTCAATTTTTTTCGGTCACTCCCTGTTTCACCGGAAATGACTACAAATTTTGATTTTTAAATGGCACCGTCGGTATTTTTTTACTTATTTATTTTATTACTTATTCGATAGAAAAAGACATTCTGAATAGAATGACGTATCATATGTCAATTTTTGATATTTTTGCTTAAAACAAAATTTAATTTTAAATTTCATTGTAGAGTGCCATAATTTTTAATCAAGAAGCCTTGGAAAAATAGACTTGATCGTCTAATGTTATTCGTGTGTTATTCTGACCGGTCAAAAGATGCCCAAATCGTATTTTAAATCATATCTCAATTTTTTCAAATGGAACGAGGGTGGGGCATTAGCATATTTGGAAAAAGCATTTTTTTACGAATAATTTGGTACCACACACTTATCGAGTCAAATTTTCGTTACGTACCGCAAGTTATAATTTCAAATAAACAATTTGGAAAATGTCAAAAGTTGACATATGATATGTCATTCTATTCAGGGTCTTATTTTCTATCGAATAAAGTAAAAAAATACAGAGATAGTCATTTCCGGTAAAACAGATACCAAATCTCGTTTTTTTATCTGAAGAAATAAAAAAGTTATAGGGGGTGAGCTACTTTTGAGACGCACCCGGTATTGTTTTATTAGGAATAAAAATGATACTTTTTGTGGCGAGACTGTTCGTTCCAAGTAATATAAAAATATTTAAAAGTAATTTCCTCTTCACCTCGTAAGTTATTATACAGGGTGAGTTTCCTACGATGTTCTCTATGGGTATCTCGGAAACTACTGGAGATAGAGAGTCGGTTAAATGGGGAAAGAATTCCAGTTTTGTGGGGCCATAAATATACACTTTTTAGATTTTTAAAAAAGTTCATGGCTTACTAGATATTTCGAAAAAAAAAACAAATTTTGGTTATTTTAAAAATTGTCCCTAAGTTTTCCTTGTTTTCAGATAAAAGTTGTAGATAATCACATTCTAATGAGTCTGTATTCTCCGATTTTTTCTAAAGCCTGTCATTTATGACATATGCACAAACATGTTTTTTTTTTAAATAGAAACCATAGTTGGCCATGACTTCATAAAAAGCGCCATTGTTTAAGCTTTTCAGCGATATAAGCCATAATATGTTTTTTTCATAAAATTACTGAGTTATAGCCAATTCTTATATTACTTGACTAATTTCACTTAGTTAGCCATGGAAACAAGTTCAATCGTCGTTGCTCTCAGAAATGTGAAACTGTCACAGCCCAACTTTGTAAATTAAAATATACCAAAATGTAAATATGAATTTTTCAAATGAAGAAAACCGTGTAGGATTATTGGTTTGGCCAACAAAACTTTTCTTGGCCTTACAGTTTCGAGGATACGTTGACCGGTAAACGTTACTTATGTTTTTTAGAGAACGGTTTTCAAGACGTGTTAGAAAAGTTAAATTTAGATCGCATTAATAGAGTGATTCCAACATGACTTTCATTATGACCCAGCACCCCCACCCCCACCATGTAAGAAATGTTAAAAATTATTTATATCATAATTTTGTAGACTCAGGGATAGAAAGAGGTGGACCAATTGCATGTGCCTCCTCGATCACCTGACCTATCCATTTTAGATTTTTTTATGCGGTATGGTTAACAACAAGGTTTACAAAAGAACTTATGAATTAAGAAAGACACTCGAAGAAGCGGTACAGGAGAAGTTTAATTAAGTCGACCGGTCGTTCTGTGAGAATAGCTAGAAATTCAGTTCTAAAAAGATGCATTTATGTACTCAAAACAATGGCAGATATTTTGAACATTTTCTAAAGTAACTTAAAATATATGTAGTAATATTATTTTTTAAGTTTTAGTTTGTGTAGGGGAGACCGGGGTCAATTGAACCATTTTGTACAAATTTATTTTTTCTGGCTAGAAAATTACTAAATTCGATTTTAAATTTATGTTAACATATAGCTGGGAACTTGATATACATGACCTCGTAGTTAAATTAAACTATAGATAAGCAAAAACAAATATGTAAACAAAAATAAGGGATGGTGCATAATATTACAAACGACCCCGGTCAAGGGTCAGTTGAAACACGTTATGGGGACAATTGTAACAAAAGGAAAATATACCAAATAAAACCGATATTGTTTTTTATTTTCGGTTTTCAGTCAAAAAATGGAACTATAAAAAATCCAAATCAAGTAGGAACTATAAAAAAATTGCCTCATAACAACACAACAAAATTAACACAAATTAATATTCTATTTATGAGGAGGAACATTAATAGGAATGAAGAAATATAAAATAACACTTTCAAAAACGCGTGAAAACAAAAAAAAACACCTGATGGTGCTTAATTATTAATATGTAACACTTAACCTTAAATTTTTGGTTAATCGCTTTCACAATTATGGCAAATAAAATATGCAAACTCTTGCGATATACATGCTTCATGCGACCACATTTTACAGTCCATACATTGCACCCACTTTTCACCCGGCTTGCTGTTTTTAAAGGGTTCCACACACACTAAACAAAAACATGCATCTTCCTCATCGTCGGTAGAATCTTTAGATGACTCCTTTCTTATTATCGCGGGCGTTTTTTTCGGAATCTTCTTTTTCTTTTCGTCTGTTCCTATATTCCGTTTGACTTTTTCTATTTTCTTTTGACGGATTTTTTTGTTTATCTCCCTCTCTATATCATCTTTTTCTGGTGTATCGGTGTACACGGTGGACTTTCTTTTTTTCTTTCCTCTTGCTGGCATCTTTCGTGGTGGAGCTTTCCCAAAAGGCCTAATAGCTTCCGGTGAAAAAGTGTCATTTTGGGTGGTAACTTTGTCCAAAGTGTCAGAATTTCGTGGACCTCGAGAAGTCGATGGGATAGGATTTTGAAACTCATCTAAAGTTGTATTTAAACTAGTGGAGGGAATCTTGGCTGGGGGTTCTCTATCGATGACAGATATTGACGGAGTAGGGTTTTCTTCTTCCAAAGTTGAAACTGTGTGATTCAAGTTGTTGCCTGTATCTAAACTAGGATGTTTAGCTGGAGGTTCAGTTGGAGGCAACCTGTCGGTGACAAAAGATGGAGAGAAATTTGTCTCGGAAAAAATATCCCTGTTAAATGGATATATCCCTGTGCACTTGAAACCAGCTTGAATGTTGCTTTGTGTTAGAGCTAAGGGCAATGCTATTGAGACAATTCCGGGTAAATCATATATAGACATCGGTTTGCCAGGGTGACTACGAATCCAACCATCACAAGCAGAGTTTATTGCTTTTTTAAAAGGACCGAAAATTGTTCGGTCGAGGGGCTGCAATTTATGCGAGCAGTGGGGTGGAAAGGAAAGCATTACTATTCCGTTAGTTTTACAAATGTCCAGAGCATCTATACTAATATGGGATGAATGGTTATCTAGTGTAAGTAAAACCTTATGAGTTTGTGACGAATTTGTATGCTTTTGAAAATGTTTTAAAAACAAGACGAACTCTTTATCTTGCATCCATCCAGACCCGTTTCCAGCACCAACACACCCTGGTGGATCATCACGAATAAAATGCTCTTGAAAGCGTAGTCTAGGAAATATAAACATTGGCGGAATCGAATTGCCTAGTGCATTTATTGCTACCGTAACTGTTACGAGTGTACCACGTTCTTGTGAGGTAATTGCACCCACTTGTTTCGTGCCCCTTTTTGCCACAATTCGATTAGGTTTCTGGACTGTTGTTACGCCAGTTTCATCTAAGTTGTAAATGTCTTTTGCTTCAAATATATCGCGATCCAACACTTTGGCAAGATTATCAAAGAATACAGAAACATTTGCCTGATTGAAGCTAGTTGCCCTGGCTAAACTGGTTGCTTGTGGGGCTCTTATTGATAAGTCACGGTGTCTTGACATGAAACCAGAAAACCAGTCTTCTCCCGCCATGCCATTTTTAATTCAAGTGTCCGGTTTATCTATATTATATTTATTGGTTAATTCAAACGCAAGTTTCCGAATATCTTTAGTTGACAAGCCTTGATAAATGTTTGCAGCTTTTTTTATGTAATTTACCATTTCGGGTTTCTTGAAGTGCATTAAACATTTTAGTCGCAGGTGTATACCCCATTGAAACAGTTGTTTGACCTTCAGTGTTTGCCGCAGCTTCTTTCTTTCGTTTGTACCTCAACAAAGACACATGAGAGATCCCAAATTGATTAGCAGCTAGCCGTAGAGAAAGCCCATTTTGGAGCTCTGCATACGCCGATTCGTATAAAGATATATCTCGACTTGATCGATCAGTTTTTAGGATTCTTTTACGGGGCATCTGAAATGAAATAAACTAATTAATTTATTTTTCAAGAAGACGGGGTCAATTGAAACGTCCCCGTTACAACTGACCCCAAGCGACATTTTGAAATAAATGGCACCATATTTACTACAAGCTAAATTAATTTGAAAACCTAACCCACGTAAAATAAAGTTAAGTTAATGGCCTAAATAATTTAAAACTGACACCGAACCAAATGTGTAATAAGATATAAGTGTATAATAAGTGTATAAGATTCAATTACACATACATAATTATTATCGTAGATACTTGTAAAAACACAAAATCTCGCACTACGTATATATGCGAAAGAAAGTCCCCGATATAGGGTAAAAAGTTCTGAGCGCAGTTTGTTTCTAGCTTGTACGGGAAAAAAGTTTTGATTAGTGTTTCAATTGACCCGTGTTACAATTGACCCCGGTCACCCCTAATGTAAATTGTAAACAGCCGTTTAATAATATATTTTGTCTTTTTATAAGTTATAAATCATAACAAAATAAGAACACCATACCAACTAAGTTAAATTAGTCAAGAAAGATAAAAATTGGCTATAACTCAGTAATTTTTTGAATAAAACATATTATAGCTTATATCGCTGGAAGATTAAAAAATGGCGCTTTTTATGAAGTCATGGCCAACTATGGTTTCCTTTTAAAAAAACAAATGTTTGTGTCATAAGTCATAAGTAACAGGCTTTAGAAAAAATCGGAGAATACAGACTCATTAGAATATGATTATTTACAACTTTTATCTGAAAACTTTTTGTCTAAAATAGTTTATAATGGAATTAGGGACAATTTTTAAAATAGCCAAAATTTGTTTTTTTTTTCGAAATATCTAGTAAGCCGTGAACTTTTTCAAAAATCTAAAAGGCGGATATTTATGACCTTACAAAACTGCAATTCTTTCTCCATTTAACCGACTCTCTATCTTCAGTATTTTCCGAGATACCCTTAGAGAACATCGTAGGAAACTCACCCTGTATATAAACAATGGTTACGCTCGTTGAATATGACACTTTATGTCAGGTTAATAATACATTTTTGTACTTTTGTGCTTAGGCGTAAAAGTGCTTTATTTTTATGCCTCAGCGTTAAAATTAATTTTTTATGTTGTCAATCACGTCGCTAAAATTAATACTTTTGTGGCGTTTGAAAAAAAAACTTACTATGATTCTTAAGTTTCGTCCTTCGTATCCAGTTTAGCAGATTTTTCATACGAGTATCAAGAGCAAAATTGACAATTCACAAAGACTAATTCACCACAATACACCAAAACACTTCTGCACTTTTTGCACATACACAAATAAGTGTTTTGGTGTGTTATGGTCAATTAGTCTTTCAACCCTTGACTCTAATCGAGTAACAAGACTTTTATAAATACTAGGTACTAAAATAACAGGTACTCCAATCCAACAAAATTTTAATTCCCATCGAAAATGGTCTAATTGCACTGGGCATTCCTTTTCTGCTGCCAAGTCATCTGTAATGCACTTCTGCAAAATAAGAAGTTGTATTCAAATTGATGATATTAAATACCAGAATCATCCCATTCCTAGTGAAGGGCAATATAGGTTTCTTGGATGGATCTTGGATAGTTCACTCACTCAAAGTGTCTCACACATCTCAAAATAATTAAGAATTTTGGTAATTTCAAATGACGATTTGTATTTGTTATCCAACTTGTCTTCTTCTACTAAGTAGTTGAAGTTGTAGAACTATTAAGTAATAAAATTCTACACTATTTGAACTAGACTATGGTGATGTTGTCTATAACTCTGCCAGAAAATATTACTTACAACCTTTAGATACAATTAGGGTCTCCGATTATCTTTGGGTGTCTTTCGTACCACACCAGTGGAGAGTCTTTAAGCCTTATCTGGATATTCTTCCTTGTATCATAGGTGAATTCCCCATACTCTTAATTATGGAATATCCATATATTAATTCAAAACATTTTTTAATTGAAGTTCTTCAATTTACAAGACGTTGAAACATATACAATTCATCCTAAATAGCAACGCCCCAATAATATTAGATACCACCTACACTCAGATGCAAAAAAAACGCAACGGAAATTTTTTTGGTCAAATTTAAAATGTTTTATTTTTGTTATTTTTAGCTTCATTTTGATGAATTTTTTAGCAACCTGTATATAATTATAACAACTTAAATTCGTAAACTCAGTTTTTTATAAACTTTAGAATTTGTCATATTATACAGGGTTAAACGAGGGGTTGTTTTTTACCTAAAATTTAAAACATCTTTGCTGGTAACGATCGAGCAGACAAAATGGCTAATGAGACGGCAACGCTCCAGAATACAGAATAACGCTTACAGAATATTGAAGGAAGTCCATCTGTTGTCGATTTGAGAAATTTTCACAAAAGAGTGTTTTTCTGTATACAACAAAATGAATGGTACATTTTCGAGGGAACTAATAACTTAGATTAGATATGCCAATTCTTCATCTATCGAAATATATTATATTCTCTTCAACGCGGACATTTCTGTAAAATAGTAAGAACCCTCACAGGACCTTACCAAATCCTATATTATCAGAAATGAACCCCCTCCGAAATACACCTTATGCAATAATTTAATGTCAATGAAACATTCTTTTGAATGCTTACCTGTTGCCTCCCATTGTTTAATTCTGTTTTGTAATACTAGGACACTCTATATTCGATATTTTGGTATTTATATGGTATTCATTCCTATGCAAGATGTAGTGCATATCAACGTAATCTGTGAGACAGTTGAACTAAAGTGAGAGAATTGGCCCTCGTAAAACAAATATTAGGGTTTTATGGGTTTCTCAGGCCCGCGGATGGCGTTACCGTAGGTACGTACGTATACACACACGCTTACTGTTTCCCATCTCCTCTTCCTTTTAATTACCACGTAAACGAATTAGCTTTTACGAGCAGCTGACGCCTAGACGGCGATTTGTTTACGGCCGGCGCGAACAAATTCTCGAGATGCATCCACAGTGTGTTTATCGCCTTAAATTAATATTGCTTGGAGTATAACATGCCGTAGGATTGTTTGGATGGTAGGTGGTCCGGTGTATTAATTTGTAATGCACTATAATTTTTGTATATTAAATTAATTTATAGTCAAGCCTCGTGCATTACATAACGAAACTTCCGCATATTTGCTAGGGTCTAACAATGTTTTAACATCGTTTTATACAGGATGAGCTAGTTTTTAAAAATAGGTTTAAATAAAAAGCGAATCAGGTTTTTTGTAGTTGAGATTTTGAATACACTTTTGTAATGTTTTGAAAATATGACCCTTATTTTTAGCGTATACAGGGTGTCCCAGAAATAAGTGCAAGTATTTTAAGGGATGGTAGATTTCGATAAAAGAGACATATTTTCTCTTTATCGTTTTCAAAGTCCAAAATAACGGAGTTATTTTACTTTGAAAATTTAAAAAAAAATGATTTTTTGCTAAAATTTTGAGAACCAATGGATCTGTTCTGGATTTTCTTTCTTGTAAATTTAATCTAATTACCTATGTTCCCATATTATCAAGAAATTTTGTTTTTTAACTAAAAACTAAAAAAAATTCCAAAAAATTTTTCAATACATTTCGAATTTTCAAATTTTTTTTTTCGTGAAATGCGTGTTTCTGGGGCTGAACTATACTACCATTTAAAATACTTGTACTTATTTCTGGGAAACCCTGTATATGGTTATTACTTGATACCAACCCAGTCCGGTTTCATTAATTGCTTGGGGATGTTCTTATTATGGGAAGTTTAATGTCTGTATATTAGCTTAGGGCAGAACCCACTAGTAGACGAACTACAGTCGGATGAGATTGTGGTAATGGTATCAGATCTCACACTACCGGTCCAACTCTTTTGACAGGCACCTGCAATGTCTTGTTTCCGAATAGAGACGAATGGGATAAGCCAAGAAACGGTTTATTACATGCGGAAACATGTTGGTACACGGACGGATCCAAGAACAAAAAAGGATCTGGCGCAGGAATTTACTGCAGCAGTCCCACTACCAGAGTCTTGGAAAGCATACCACACATTTCCAAGCTGAGCTATTAAAACCTGTGTGAAACTGCTGGTAGAACAGCAATACACCGGGAAAACAATAAGCATATTTTCGGAGAGTCAAGCCGCGTTGAAACCACTTGAGGCAACAAGATTCACTTCTATGACGACTCTTCATTGTCGGAAACTACACAAAATATTAGAAGATAGGAACAAAGTGTCGCTAATATGGATACCGGGACATGTAGGGAAATGAACCTTCTGATTAACTCACCAAAACTGGTGCAGGTTTACCTTTCGTGGGCCTAGAACCGACACTTAGCGTTCAAAAAAATCTTGCAAGACATAGGCTCCGTCAATGCGGGTTAGGGGTGCGACATTGCGGGACTGGAATGACACTCCCGGAATGGAGCATACCAAGAAAATCCTAGCAGGGCCATCCAAACGCAGAAAAAGAGAACTCGTAAAGGCTTGTAGACCATGCCGGCTGAGATCACACCTACAGAAGATGGGACTGGTGGAAAACGCCGAATGCCGACTCTTTTTTGAGGATGACGAAACAATGAAGCACGTTACCTGCCCCGCTGATAGCAGAACCAGGTTT